ACAACATACAGTAAACTTCGACCTTGCTATAATCTGCTTTACAAGTTCACAATAATGATGTTGATGTGAATGCAATTAATCTCAGAAATACATCCTAATGGCTGGTCGAACTAGACTTCCACGGTACAAACTTGAAGAAATTAAAAGAAAGGTTAGTTGTTACGTTTCTGATAATAATGGTGCTCATTGTTCATGGCTGGTTTTCAAATTAATGCCTCATTAACTGATGAATATTTTTTGATGTTTTGCATTAAGGAAGATGAGCGGCTGGCGAAAGAAGTGTTTGAAGAGTTTGTGGCAACTTTCGAGCAACCGGCGTCGAAGATGGTTAAAACTTTTGTTCGAGGTGAAGTTGTTAATGCCGACAAGGCAGGTAGGTCAGACGGTATATCTAAGTAACGGGTAATGCGTTGTTTCTGTTAATAGTCGCTCAGAAGAAGGGGTCCGGAAAGTCAAGGCTTTATTTACCGAAACCGAGCGTTGTCAAGACCGAGTCCGCTTTCGAAGCCGCACGAAAAGCTGCTGAAGAAAAGGCAAAGAAGATCATGGACGAGGCGCTGAAGAACCGACCTCAAAAGCCTGTACAGCAGCGCTTTTTGACGGCCGCTAAAATATACGCTTACGTTTTGCATTTAGGGAAAAAGAAAAGAAACGAAGCGCCTGTCGAACCTAGAGGCGTTCAAGGAAGAATTGAAGAGGTAAGGTTGCGGCTGATGCTGGAGAACCTTCGGCATACTCATGGCCGGTCGTACGTGTTCTAGGGCTCAGGAAGAACGGGCCGAGAGGCGCCGACTGCGGCAGCAACTCCAAGATCAGTTGGGAATGGACAAGGAACCGCTTGACAAGATTGCACCGTCGTTGGATAATCCTTACCTGGGAACATACGATCTCGACCCTAACACTACGAACTTATTTCTGTCAAATCTCAGCCCTAAGGTTCGTGTGGCGCCTGTGTATTGATTATCATGCGGATGTGCTTTTTTTGTTATTCTGAAACGTGATACACTTATATAGCGTAGTCGTACCTTGAATTGCGGTAAACGCCAGTGTTGATTTTCGAATGGTACGTCGTGTTGCGGTTTTGAATACTGCTGGTGGCAGCAGGTAGACAACCTTTTGAACGCAGAAACGAACGCGGAGCAATTACTGGCTGTCCGAATCTACTAGTAACGAAGTTTTACATACCGGTGGAAGCTTTCAGGTTATTCAAGTAGTGGAAGCTTGTGTTGTTATTCCTCGAGCTTTCGCTGTACCAAGCTATGACATCTCAGCTGGGATGTTAAAATGGCTTACTGTTGTCGTTAGAATTCCATTAAATTAGATTATTCCATTAGGACGTTTACTAGTCGACAAATATACGTGATACAACACCAGCAAAGCGGAACCGGGTTTCATCTATACGTGTTAGTCCTCTTCAGGTAGTAGTTTTTATTCGTGTACCTGTAATGACCCTGTTGTAGTTGAAACTTGGTCCCGCTTCATCGTTACTGTGCTGTGTATTTTCCTACAAGTAAAAATTTTAATGAAATGACATACTTGATTAGTATGTGCCCTCTTAATGAATTCGACAGATTCTAATCCTATATCTGTTTAAAATTGATTTCGAGAAGGTTTTCTGTTCAGTCCACATCCGTTCTTTACTGGATTCCTTGAGGAGCCCGATAATCGAGTAATGATACAGAAACCTTATCGCTATGATCTACAAGGATGCAACTATAGTGTGAAGCTTCATGAAGGCACAGGCAAGTTAAAAAGTCGAAATGGGCTTCCGACAGGGAGGCGCAAATATCGTCGAATTATTCACAACAGTCATAGGAGAGGTTTTCAAGACGCTCCGTGGAGAAAATCACTGGCTGAACGGTATGGGCAATCTTTAAGACACTATCTGGCTTGCGTACAACATTCTGATATTCTCAAAGTCGCCAGAACATCTCTAAATTAGAACCCAGTAGCCGAACAACGCTGTCATGGAAGCAAGGCTGCAAATAAGCTGGAAGAAACCTCAGATAATGTTTAAAAGGTAGTGAACCAGCGACTGTTGAGCTCTGTTGGCTTAATCTTGAAGAGGTGCAAGTTCAGCTCTGCAACAGAGAACCGACCACGTGAAACCAAGAGAACAATGAAAATGGCATGGAGCGCTTTTCGAAGATTGAAAATTTTCCTATCTTGGAAATTGTCGTTTGGCTTGAAACTGAGTTTTCGATCAGTGTGTGCTCCCGTTGCTAACTTTTATAGCTGTGAAACGTGGAGCCTGAACTTGAAAGCTGATCATAAAATGCAGACTTTGCAAGGCAGCGTAAAAAAGATGACTTTTGGGAAATATCAAGAAAATATGGGAAGATAAAATGGCAATGGGCAGGGCACGTTACAAGAAGAACCCACCATCGCTGGACTAGAGTGAATGCAGAGTGGGTTGCAAGAGAGAAACAATCCGTATGAAGACCTCCAGATGACAGGATGAGCTGAAAAGTTCACTCGATCAAGATTGAGGATGAAAATGGCAGAAAACAAGTTAGTCAGCAAAGTCTTGGAGTAGCCTTCATCCAGCAGTGGATCGACATAGCCTGATGATTATGATCCACGTAAAATAGCTAGTTCTTTCGTACAGTGAATGCACTCAGTAAAAGTTCCTTCCACTTTGCGATGTTGTTTTGTCATCGTCATATGAAGGTTTGCAGAGCTTAAACAGCAGGACAGCGCAGATTTATGACATATGACCGTTAGAAATGGTACTTCAGATCGATATTAAACAACTTTTACTGTTGCAGCAAAGGTCATATCTTTTTTCCAAGTAGATCTGCCTCATCGAAGTGTTTACACGTTTTGCAATATCCTCCAATGCGTCTGTGTCCAGTTCGTGGTTGCCACGCGAGAAAAATTTTGAGTATATTTTCTTTCTTTTCTAAGCAGTTTTAACGAACGAAGCTAGGCTAAGCCGGTCTCAGTTCATGTGATAGTCGTTTTCATTTTCTCAGATTGGTGATCGTTAGCACCTGCTTGTTTGTGACATGGTGCTGCCGCACTTTGAGGATACTTCGTACATAGCATTTATAGAAGCTGTCTAAACGAGCATGGTGACTCTTCAGGACGGCAGATATTTTAAGACTGCGAATACAGCTGCTCTCGGAATGATCTTTGTTTTCGTTCTTATAGTTCAGTCCTTCCATATGTCATACATTTTGCCAAAATTCGTTGATGCTAATGCGAATTGCCGATTCGCTTCAGAATCATTGTCGCCATCGTTACTCAGCACAGTTCTGAGTACTTGAAATGGTTCACCCCATAGTATCCTGGGGTTGACGGTCACAGTAAGCGTTTGCACCATCTTCGTCTTCCTGGCATTGACTTTTTGTCCAACGGTCATCAGTGTTGCGCACATTTTCGGCAAATGTCAGTAGGCCACTTGGGGAGTTGCCCTGCGATGGCGGACTGCAGCCGATTCCCGTAACTCAAAAATTTGTGAGCCTCGACACTGTCGTCCAACAAGGAAATGATGGCAAGAAGCTCACGTTCACAAATGTTTACATGCTTTTCAGACTTACGAAGAACGTACTTAAACTGTAAACTCAGTCAGAAACGTCTAAATATATTCGTCTTTATCCGCAACGATCTTTTAGGTGGTGGCGGCACACCACACATGGAATGGTCCATACATAGTGCATTTATATGCGGTAGTCAGCTTCTATTCGTCATTATATATATATATATATCCATCTGTATCAAGGCAGGCCATATTTTTCCTTATTTTGTCTATGATCTTTCTTTGAGTCTCCAGAATATCTCTGAGGGTGGCGATATACATTGAAAGAAGTCTCCTGTTTTTGGTATGATTTCCTTCTTTCTTAAGTAACCCACAAGCTTTAAGAGGAGTCTCGTACTCTTCTTATGCTTTGTTTGTTCTGGAATCTTTTTGTTCGG